TTCTCGGCTTCTTGGCTTCTGGGCTTCTTGGTCACATGTGTACTATCACTAGGGCTTGTCAGCTTCCTGGCTTCGCGGATTAGCGGCTTCTGCCCTTCTTCGCTTCTCGGTTTCTTGGCTTCTCGGCTTTCTTGGCTTCTTGGTAATATGTGTGTACTATTACTATTATAACCATTTTGCTTATTATTATCATGATTAGTCCTAGTATTACTCCCAAGACTATCATTTCTAGTATTCTGACTAGTCTTATCACCATTGCATGTATGAATATTGATGAAGAAAGATGAATATAGCTGACTATATACATATATATATATATATACACATGTATTCTCTCTGTGAGATGAACCTTAAACCACCCAAGCAATAAACGGCCTTTAACCCGACGACACAAACCTGAAGCCCCAAACCTAGACCTCAAATCAGACCCACATCTAATACCCTGCAACCAAAACCGTGGGGCGTTGCCACAGCGGCCTGCGAAAGCGGCGCTGGCACGGCCAACTTTCACACGAAAATCTGAAACCCCCTGCCCGGATTTAGTAGTTCCGACCCAGGACTACTGAAATCGCACTTACAGACATGTTTTAATTTGTTTTTGATCCTTCCTGATTTTTTGATCCGCTATGCCCAGCAACCGTGTTATTGTTAGCAGCAAATCCCCCAACCTTAAATTTGTGTTTGATCCTTTTTAATTTTTTTTGATCGGTTGAGCCTAAATTTTTTTGATCCATTTTAATTTTGTTTTTGATCCTCCATCTCTTTAAACCCCATTAAGCCCCTACCCAAAAGAAAAGAAGCCCCCGGGCTTAGGCCTAGACTTTCGGGGTGAAACGCTTCATGTCCAGGTAGCTGCCAGCTCTTACGCGTCTGCTGCAGCAGAGCTGGCCGATGAGGAGCCTCAGAAGCCCAGACCGACACCCCCAAGGTCCGCCCTTTTTCCCAAATCCCGAAGTCCTCCCAAATCCCAAAGATCCACAAAGTCGAAGCCCTCAACCTCAGATCCCTGAAATGCCCCCGGGTATCGGGCAGACGCCCGCGTCTCGGTTGTGAGGAAAAAGCCGACGAGGGGCAGTTTCAGCAGTTCGTGGCGGAGACCCGGAAGGACACAGGGGTTTCGGGCGTAGCCAGGTCAGGGTTTGCAGGTTTCAGGAATCAGGGTTTGGGGTTGGGGTTTCGAGGTTCAGGAAAGGCTTGCAAGAGCAGTGTGTCAGTGTGTGTGTGTGTGTGTGAAAGTCATCCGCTTCTGCTCCTAGGCTATGTGGGATAAGAGCACATGCATTCCCGCATTCCCCATGGCGACTCATATTCAGCCCGTTTTGCGCATGCTTCGGAACCAAGCTCACCATTTGTCGAAGCCTCTTCAGAACGATAGCTCTGAAATCAAGGAGGCCTCCATTTAGACTCCAACGCCTAACTCCCAGTCACCGCCTCGAATGGCAGGACACAGAGATCAAGAGTCGCGAGCTGGCACACAAGCAGGCCACGGTCCAAAGCAACTGCCTGACGCATGGGCCATGTAAAGCGACCACCGCCAATGCCAGGATCGGCGCGAACGCAAGCAACTGTTCCTGAAACAGGGCGAGGCTTGGCCTTTGATCAGGAGGGGGCTAAACCCTAAAGCCTAAACCCCAAACCCACAGTGCTAGAGGAAAAGGGGCGACAAAAAGAAGCAAACAAACCCCAAACCGCCTAAGGCTTTGCTTCCTCCCGCACCATTCCGATTTGGGTGTGTGCGTCACGGTTAGGGTAGAAGACGTATCCACAGCAGCATCTTGGCCAAGTAAGCCAGGGATAGCAATCCGAAAGCCGAAGCTTGAAGCTCGAACCCCAAAGCCCAGCCCAACAGTCCTTAACCCTAAACCCTAAACCCTAAAACCTAAACCCTAAACCCTAAGCCTACTTAGCTAACTTTTGTTGTCGGCATCCTTCACCGTGGAAGGCCGAGCTGGCAACGTCGAGGGACAAGTGCGCCGAGCGGGTCTAACAGTTCAGGTTTAGGGGCGCGCTGGTTTAGGTTTAGAGCTACCCTAGACTAAACCCTAAACCCTAAACCTTCAGAGTCGTTTCTGCTAAGTGAGGGTGGACGGGGCGACTGGGGAGTTGCGGCTGCAGCTGTTTGCAAAAGGGCCATGTGCCGAAGACCTTAAACTCTATACGCTAGCTTGCATTGCTTCCGTTGAAAGACCACTGGTATTCGGGATCTCCGAAGTCTGGCAAGCAGAGGAGTTGTAGTGGCCGGTGGGATTCCGTCCAGCTCGTTTCGTTGGATCTGTGCTGGCAGGTTGGGAAAAATTGCGGAGTACCTGGAGAAGCTGAAGAGCCAGTGCAAGGCGAGCGGATTCTGGACTTTGGTTTGCCACTCCAACCTTCCGAGAGCAAAGCCTTTTACCCAAAATGAAGCGCCCGTTGCACCGACATCGAGGGTCGGTCACACTCTGCGACCGCCGGAACGGCCAGGCACCCGTCCTTACACCCGAAGAGAGGCGTCAGAAGCGGGAGGAGGCCCTGGCGGTATCCAGTGGCTTAGTCCTCTTGCTTTTGTGTGCGACTGTCATGAAGAGGCAGCTGTTGCAGTGTCGATTCTAGGACAGAGGTACATGCATCACAGCCCTCCGACCCCAACCATCCTCAGCCCCCTACTTTCCCGGCATTGAAGGAAATGACGGCCTTGCAAGAAGCCCTGGCTGCCCTAGAGGACGGGAGTTGGTTCGGCAAGAAAGCATGTCTTCTACTGTGCATTGACGTCACTTTGACTCAGACCCGAATTTCTGGATCTTTTTGCATCTTCCGTCTTCGGGTTCGAGCACTCGTGTCGGCATCGCGTTTTCGTCGTACTTTCTTGCCGCAGCGGTGGCGCAGGACGCAGGTTTGCTGAAGGCTCTGTTGACGTGTTACGGGTTCTTCACGGCCTCGGCAGGGGTAGCAC